GATCGAGTCGGTGCTAATCTGTGCAGCAATTATGTTTTGATGTTTTTTGACTGCAACTGATGTAAACTGAACATTAACTCTCCCCTCCAGCTTCTGGTTCTTCAAGTTTGCTGCAGCTGCTGGCATCACTATCGGATCGTTCTTCATCCCAGAAGGTCCCTTCACTACTGGTAACTGTTCTAGTCTGTAGTCTTTAATCTACGTTTGAAATGAAACGCACCCTTCAACAATCTGCACAAGTGTTAAATGCCAAGAATCCCTGGTTGCATTATAGCCTTAATCAAGAAGGCTGATGCGTACAAAATGTAGGCTAATCTTAGAGACGGTGGATTTCAGTTCTTATAGAGATTGGTCTGTGTGACATCATGAAAGAAAACAACACTGTATTCACTGTGTTCTGTTTAAAAGCCACGTATCTCTAAACTGTCAACAAACAACTAGCCTTTAGTTGTCTCCTAAATGCTTTAATTAGCTCAAAGGCCTGCATATACCAAAGGTTCTTTTTGGTGCTATTATTTTGCATGTTAATATATCTTTCTGTCGTTTCTCTCATGAGTCTTACACAAAACATGAATAAAATGAGAAGACAAGGTCTATTTTTGTTGGCTCAATGATCCAGTAGAGCTCTGAAAAAACTCATTTCTTTACTGGAGGTCATTGTGGTTGATCATTTCTGTCCTAACAAGCAACTGGCACAGAAGAAATGGAGATAGCTCTGAGTCCTCACTCTGCTTTCTGTTGTCATTCTGCCCTCCCCACAGTGTGGTTTTACATCGGCATGGCCGGAGCCTTTTGCTTCATCCTCATCCAGCTGGTGTTGCTCATCGACTTTGCCCACTCCTGGAACGAGTCCTGGGTGGAGAAGATGGAGGAGGGCAACTCTCGCTGCTGGTACGCAGGTATGGTGACAGTTGTTCTTTTGACAATTTATGTCACAGAGAACAACTTGATGAATCAAAGGAAAAAGCAGGAAAAAGCTGCACTGATGCAGACAAGACAAAGAAAAATGGAGTCTTGAAAGCCGTCTCTAAGTTTGACGATGTGTCGTTTTTTGTGCGGGGAACCCACATATAGATTAAAGACCATGTTGAGAATATATTCAGGCTTACATCAAATATTGATTCAGATGATCCTGTCGCTCTCAGAGAAAGGACATTTATTCCTGCTATTCTGTGTTCACAGCTCTGCTGTCGGTCACCGCGGTGAACTACCTGTTGTCTCTGGTGTCTCTGGTCATGTTCTACGTCTACTACACCCACTCCGACAGTTGCACTGAGAACAAGGTCTTCATCAGCATCAACATGCTCCTGTGCGTGGCGGCCTCCGTCCTGTCCATCCTGCCACCGATCCAGGTACTCTCTTTCACGTTCATGGGACATAAAGCCAGAATTCAGCCGTGTGCTGTTCTCTTTCCCGATTGTGCATGTGCTTCTTTTTAACTTGCGAGTCGGTCTTTAATTGATTTTCCCACTAATGCCTGTTTATCCTCTGTGTGAAGGAGTCCCAGCCCCGGTCTGGCTTGCTGCAGTCCTCCCTGGTCACCCTGTACACCATGTACCTGACCTGGTCCGCCATGACCAATGAGCCCGGTAGGATCTCAGGAATTTCCATAGGCCAGTTATATCAGTGATGTCGTAACTTCCTGAGCTGCTCTTAGCGGATAAAAGAAACATGTTTCTTCTGGTATCTGTTCAGAGATAAAAACAGATTTATCAATTTTAAGTTGCTCAGAATGTAAATGTTGTAATGGAACTGGTTCTTCTATAACAAACTAGATGAAAAGTTAATAAGATAGCTTTGGTTTTATAGTTGAGATTCACGAGAAACTGTTACGGAAATACTGCCTCTTAACATCACCTTATTTGTTTAAAGTATATGCATCGACTTTTTGTCACTGAAGGCTTTATGTGTCTTCTATTGTTTTGAAATGATACATAATCCATAATCCATAAATATTTTCCCGTGGCTTACAGACAGGAAATGCAACCCGAGCCTTCTGGGTATTATCGGGCTGAACAGCACCAGTCCCGCAGGTCAGGACCACGTGGTTCAGTGGTGGGATGCCCAGGGCATCGTGGGCTTGATCCTCTTCCTCATGTGTGTCCTCTACTCCAGGTGAGGAAGTCCGTTTTTTCAGTTGTTCTCTTATGGCCTTGTGGTGTCGTCGTCGTTCGATAAGGCGGCCGACCTTCTCAGTGTCCTCTCTCCGGTTTCCCCATCAGTATTCGCAACTCGTCCAACACGCAGGTGAACAAACTCACCCTGACCAGCGATGAGTCCGCCCTGATCGAGGAGGGGCCGGCGGCCGACGGCTTTGAGGAGGGAGGCGGCGGCGGCAGAAGCCGAGCCGTGGACAACGAGAGAGACGGCGTCACCTACTCCTACTCCTTCTTCCACTTCATGCTCTTCCTGGCATCGCTCTACATCATGATGACGCTCACCAACTGGTACAGGTAGGCAGCGCGGAGCTAATGAAGAGTCAACATTAGGAAGAGCTAGAAATATTATTTGAACCGGATTCTGACGGTTCTCTACACTCTTAACATTCCAATCCGCACTCGCCCCATTCCCACCCATGTAAATCTCAGAAACATAATCAGTTATATTGAAAAAAAGTTGAATACATTGAAAAAAGATGAATAGTTTAGGCTTTTGTCAAGACTTTACATTTTAAACGGTGGCTGTAGTTTAAAGATAAAAGAATTCCAACAACTCAACTGTGTGTTGATTTTTAACAAAGTAAAAAGAATTTCCAATGAGTGAGAGACATTACTCCACTATAAGCTCACATAGCTAACGGGTGTTTGATTGCAATATTAATTGACTGTTAAAGCATCCTTATCAAATGCTGTTTGACAAGAGATGTGCTATCAGGACGAGTGTCGTTTTTTTTGGGGTTAATTATTAGTTAATTCATATATTCGTTTTTTGGATGGTGTCAACTATATGAGGGTCTGTAAGGGACACCTGATTATTGCATATCATGTTATTTTCTTAAATGGTTACATTCCAAATTTCTTGTGAAAGAACATTGGTCTGTTTTACGGACAGAGACCGAGGGCCTGCTGAGTGTAAATCAGCTATTGTGTTTCGTCCACAGCCCTGACTCCAACTACCAGGCCATGACCAGCAAGTGGCCGGCGGTGTGGGTCAAGGTCTCCTCCAGCTGGATCTGCATTGCCCTGTACGTGTGGACGCTGGTGGCCCCGCTGGTTCTGGTCAACAGAGATTTTGAATGAAACTGCCGTCTCCACCGCTCTCCCACGTGCTCTGCTTCACCTGTGTTTTTGTTTTCACCAAAAAATGTCAACAAAAAAAAAGAAAAGTAGCTAGCTAGCCCAGATTCACATCGTTCTGCAGCAGAGGGGCCGGGGGGGACCGTATGGTTCCGGTTAGGGGCCTATGGGCTCATCCCTGCTCTCAGCTCTGACTGCAGCCTGGCTCCTCTGCTGCAAAGTCATTGTGTCTCCACGGCAGCCTGTTGAAGAACCCCCGTTCATACCGTTCGCCATTGTGAATACGTCCCTTGTTTTTCTTTCTATAAAGGCAAAGCTGCATGTTTTTTCTCTTATCAAATGAACGTGAACATTAACTGAAGCTTGCGTGAGGACGGTGATGGCTCCAATTGACGCAAGGTCTAACGGTTGGCTCCACGGACTGCAGGGTTCGTGGGGACGCGTAAATGGAGCGTTCTGCTCGGGCTGCCGCCGTCCTCAGGTGGATTCAGTTGTGTATGAGCAGGGCGGAGGCACGAGCGCAAACGGAGTGTGGTATGGATAACACTCCCGGATGACCACGAGCAGCTCCGTGTAGGGTTGTGTGTAGGTGTGTGCACGCTCACGGTATTCTAGTGTTCTGCTGTCATGTATTAAAGATCTGCCGGCTGCGTGTGTCCTCTGCAGCTCGTACAGGACAAAAGGCATTGCTGATTTTAATTCTTTGAACTTTAAAACTAGATAAATAGTTTGGTAGCGTTTACTGTTTGCATGTCGTTTCTTACATTGTCTCCTGTGCTATTATTCTAACATGTTCCACCTGACGTGCAAAAGTATATTGTAACTCGTTTAATAAAACTGAAGGGAAAATTAGTGCTGAGTGTTTTTATCTACGACATGTGTAATTTAACTAACCCTACCCAGTGAGCACTAGACGTAATTTCAACATTGAAAGGCTTGGAATCATGTTAAAATTAGGTCTCAACTTCTAAGACCTTATTGCATGGTATTTTCAACTGGCTAAAAAGTGGATGAAACCTCAAAAACATTATTATTACTAATACTGTCATCTTAAACAGACATCACCAACTTTGCATCTTTCCCGAAATCTTGCTATCCCTCACAAGTTTCTGTGGATGGTGGTTGTTTCTTCAGTGGTCCTGCCTTACTAATCTCAATATTTGAATCATTTCCGAATTGAACATACTGTACATCCTTTAAGTCTTTCATTCTGTACACACCTTCTCCCGCAGGTTTCTCCCAGTTGTTTTTTAATCTTGGGGGACTTTGAGTTTTTTTTGTGCCGATGTGAGGATTTCGGGACAGGATGTTGAATGTTTACAGACTGTAAAGCCCTAATGCTAATTTAGGATTCTGGGCTATACAAAATAAAATGATTTAAACTGAATTAACACATTGGTATCAGAGGACATATCTATACTTGAGGGGTTTACGCATTGTGACTTCCCTACACACAAAGAATCATCAAGTAACAATGAGGAAGATGATTTCAGGTATACCAAAGAAATATTGTATGGTATCCCGATTGAAGCAACTCCGAGCCATTAGAGAATTAAATCCATTGTGGAAAAAGTGAAACGCTGAATACTTTCCGACTTTCTGAATTTGGAAATAGGTGGATATTTGGTGGCGTGTAACTTAATACAGGTGTGGTTAGATTCCAAATGAAAGCAGAGCTTGAAGTCCAAGCTAAATCTATGTTATGTAGCAATCTGCCAGCTGAGTGTAAATCAGTTGTTGACAATACAATAAACGACAAATGAACACTGTAGCATTTGCTTTTATTGTCTAACTGCGACAATGACAAACCACTCGTGGGAAGTGTTCCTGTCACAGAGAAGTCACGAGACGTTGGTGATTAAAATAACCAGTATCTGACATGTAAAGTGTGAAGCAACCCAAAGACAGGGGCACTCTCTTTTCACCACAGAAGTGCACTGAAGTTCATTTACAGATTAGACTAAAGTACACACCACTCCCTCGGTTTCTGAAGAGGCAGCTTTGGGGTTCACAAATGACGCATTGTAACAAAATGTGCTGAATCCATGTTTCTGGCTGATGTGTAATCCTTGAGAAGTGGGACTAACAGGTCTCCTTATTACTGTTTAAGTATGCTGAGAATTGCTACATGGAACACCAAAAAATGGGGCGAGACATCAATTGGTCCCGAATGTTTTCTTACTGGACGGCAGCATCTCGTAGTCACGGTTTTGAAGCTCTTTAACAGGGTTTTAGTTTGTCCCAGGTCTCATAAATGAGCCCGGGTTGAACACGAGCCTACATTGACAGTGTCCCAGCTTTCTGGACAGAAACGTAGCAAAAGCTAAAACACATATTAAAATAAATACATTTCTCAAAGTACAAACAAAAGGTGTTCTTACAGGTTGGTCAGTGAAGGTGAAGATGAAGAGGAGACTAAATATGAATCCAGGTGAGTTTGAGTGCTCGTTACGCTGCATCATTTATACATTTGAGAGCTTTGCATTTAGGAAAACATTAAGTCACAAATACCCATTTGCCCCCTCGTGTGTTCGTGCAGACTTTACCTCTATGCAAAGGCTGATGGATAAAAAGGCAACGTGTTTAGGCAATTCTTTTTCCCCTATTTAGAGTCAAAATATTTATTGACCAACTACAACAAAAAAAGTTATCAAATTAAATTTTTTTAGTTTATGTACTTTCATGAAGCTGGCTGAAGTTGCCAATACGTACAGATGTTCCTATGAGCAGTTTGATTAATATCGATGCAAAGTGGGTGAATTTTCCCACGCAGAACTTGTAATTATATTAGTTTTACAAACTTAGAACCCTACATTTGATGAGAATGTGCCTTATTTTTGTCCCTCAATTGTTATCATAAATGCCAAAGCCTTAAATGTAAAAATGCGTACATGGGAGTCGCTACATCTATTCTTCAACCTGGTGTTTCCGTCTTTGATTCTCAACGTGCCCCCCCCCCAACAGAGGCAAGGGGAATATCAACACTCCATGGCAGCACTGTCCATGACGCCACATCCCTTCTCACACTCTGTCCAGCGCGGCCGCGTCGCCCTCCGCTCCCGCGGGACTCAGTTCGCACAGGTAGAAGAGCGTCTCGGCTGTGGCCTCTGCCTCGGTCAGAGGCTCCAGGCGGATCAGGGAGCTGCGGGCTGGCTGCTTCAACTCAAGGCCAGCGTCCAGCAGTTCTGTCGGTGGCTCAGCCTCCACACACGCGTCAGGGCTGGGAGGGGCCTGGAGGCGGGCGGAGGAGGTGCTGGGACCCGGGTCCAGCTCTTGGTGGGTCATGCAGCCATCGAGGATGGACAGCAGGGGGCAGGAGGTGTACTGGATCAACTGCTTATCTGAAGACACGACACCAGAGGAGTGTAAATAAAGTGTTACCCTCCACCCCGCCCCCTTGACTGTGAAGTTGACTTTGTATAAATATGTTTATAGACAAAGGCAAACCTGTGTGAGTGCTATGATGTGTAAAACTGACTTCATATTTTACTGGTGAAGAAATAAATCCATTTTAACACCGACAAAACATAATTGTAAAAATGGTAAATTTCCTTAAATATCAGAAACGGGCTTATAAATCCTATAAACATGGAGATACCAGGCTAAAACCTCATCTACATGATAGCGCCGTGAGTGGACAGTACACATGTAACGTTTCACGTTGATTGAGGATAAACTACTCTAGAGGAGGCTTAGGTGAAGGCCTCGTGGCCGAGATACTGGAGAGTCACAACCATGATTTTTGTCTATCTCGGGTTCCCGGGGGCGACTATGGGTGAGTGGGGAGCACGGCCGTCCGCCAATCAGAGGGATGGCGGTTAGATTCCAGGCCCGACTAACCTGCACGTCCATGTGTCCTTGGGCAAGACAGCATTGCTCCTGTAGCTGTGACTACAGTGTGTGAATGTTAGTTAGTTAAACATATATTGCCAAAATATGTCAAACATACAAGGAAACATCAGGGTGTAAACGATGACGAAAGTGCTAAAGCGCTTTGAGTGGTCGGAAGACTAGAAAAGTACAAACCATCTACCATATTTTTATGAATCATCTGATCCCAATGGATAGGACTAAACTCACACGGCTATGGCTATTCCTTAGCCACTCAGAAGCCAGTAGAGGGTAAAATTACGTTTGAGTGAGGATTGGCTGTAAAAGTGGACCACCAACGTCATTCCAAATCAGAATTTTCTTAAAAACATCAAAGGCAGGGGATATTTATAATTCATATGCTTCAATGGCTTAGTGATTTTTGTATTCTCGATTTGGTTTGTCTGAGAGAAACTGCGATCGCAGCTGGCTGTTTACCGTGTGGTTTTCTGTGATAGCATTTAGCTTCGAACGATTGTTCAACTTTTGCATCACAGAGTGCACAATTTCTGGACTAATTTGCATAGGATATTTTAAAACTCTTGTAATACTTGTTATAAGTTGTATTTGGAGTATTTTCAAACAGATGAGTGAATATCGTAGCCAAGGCTCTAACGTTTGGAACGAGGTGAAGCATTCATATATTTGTTTGTGATGAGTAGTAGGGCTGTCACGATATCAACATTGATTGCGATATGCGATATTATTGCAATTTTCAGACCATTTGATCTGATAACATAATGACAATATAATAGCATAGTAATAAAAGTACGCGCTTTCAAACATGTACATTTATAAAATTAAGTTAAAGAACGTTTTGTTTGTCAGAATAGTTAGAAATTAGGGTTCATTAGGGTGAATCGGAATGTGAAAAAAGATATCCTATATAAAAACTAAAAATAATAAGTGCAAGGGACACGGCGAACGGGCGAAGCATCGTCGTGTTCGAGAAAATGTGTCTAGCGGAAAGGCGCCGCAGCAGTCGGGGAGGTTTAACGCAGGACGGCGGAGCAGACAGTAGTTCTGGTTAAAGACGAGCGGATGGTTGTTGTGTTGGGTGAGATTTTAGCGTAGTTGGGTTCACTGCTTCTCTTCACCGGTCGGTGTCGCTCTGTGTCTGTGTGCGCACTGCCTGAGCCCCGCCCCCTTTCCACAAGGAAAAGGGACAGAGGATCAACTTAAATGTTGGTGACGTTCATTTATATGTAAAATTAATATCGCAGCACCATCAATTATTGTGCGCGATTTCAGAGTGTGTGCGATATGTCCTTTTATCACATATTGTGACAGGCCTAATGAGTATACGATAGTTTGGTTCTGTCTCGTCACCAAAAGTGTGTCAGATACTCAGATTTCAGGTTTCAGGGGCGCACATTTATTCCGTTGAGTTTAAGAAATGGCGTACACCCTCTTTCATGCCCCACTGTTTTGAATGGGAAGCCGGGTAAGACGCAGCAGGATTGCGAGGTGCAAGTTTCCAGCGCTCACTCACCAGTGTTGGCTTCATCCGCCCTCCCTCTGTTTGGCTGGGTCGTGAACTCTTTGGAAGACACGCCCTCCTGCGAAACAAAAGTCACCGAGAAGGAATGATGGAGAGGAGAAGCCAGCTTTGGCACTAAATAGGTGGATTAAAGTATAGATCCATCAACAATATTCACCCGGCGTTATGTACAATGAGTTATTGGTCACTGAAACCCTTCCATCCGTCTTCAACGGCTGTATGGATCAAGAACAAACGGAGGGAACCCAGAGCTTTAGGGACCACAGATGAAAAATAGCCTCTTGGAAGCGTTTGGCCCATTTACAGGAACTTCTTATTAATGTGCATTGTCCTTAACCAAATAAACCAATAAATTGGTTACCAAGTTAGCAGTGGCTGCCTGCGTCTTTTTCAAAACACTGGTACTTGCGTACCAGGCGGCCGACAGATCAGGTCCTGTCTACATCCAGAATCTGGTCAAAGCTTACGTCCCTACCCGCTGGCTCGGCATCTGTTTGTTGCTCCCTCACAAAGAGCCTAACACTGAAAAACATCCCGACTGTCTGCTGTCCTGGCTCCTAAATGGGGAAATTACCTCACCAATGACATCAGGACGGTGGAAAACTTGCGATGCAGACTGTGAACATCTCTACCGACAAAACCAATAGTTAGCACTTTATTAGCACACGGCAATGCCACAATGGCAGTTACCTATAGCACTTTGGCTTTTTCAAAGAATTTGTACATGCTTGTTGTTCTGGTTCTGCACCCTCTTGATTGAATGCAGTTATTGTAAGGCGCTTTGTATAAACGTCTCAGCTAAATGATTAGACCAATGTGAGGATTATGTCCCACCAATCTTGTAGGTACATTTTGCTTTCCCACATGAGCTCATGCATGCATTTAGTGTATTTAACCATTACTGTAGCGCCCTTGCATGTTCTAACTGCTCTCATGTTATAATTGGCCGTTATGGATGAACAGTCAGGGGACATTAAAACGTTTTTTTAAGTCTCATTCATTTTACCTCGAAGGCATCAAAGTCCAAGCCAAATTGTTTTCCATAAAGCACGGCCTGGAAGTCCTCAAGACTGCAGTCGATACTGTCCAGATAGTCCATCAGCTCCATCCTGACAACACACAAAATACCATGTTCCACCAACAGCCCAAAACTGCTCTTCTTAAACACGTAGAATACTTCAAAGTAGCGTCCCCACAAGACCGTCCTGGCTGTTGTATAAATGGACATTCTTTATTCTACGCTGGTTACTAGTTTGTTACAGAATAACGGTGAAAAAACATATTAGCACTGTCGTTGTTGGCCTCAGGGACCTTCATACATATTAAAAAAACAGCCACATTATAAAATGAGTGCAAAATGGAAATGAAGGAATTGGCCTCAGTATATCAGATGGGAACCATAAAGCCTTCACACGCTCACACCATGACGATAAGGTTTTTGGGTACCGTCCACATTTCTTCATTAACATGTGAATATCTATATGTTAAGGGTGCGCTTATCTTTTTTTAATTATTATTTTGGGTATAAACCGCTGGCGACTAAGCCCGCTAATTACAGGCCCCTCCCAGCTGATGCCCCGCCCCCTACACCACATCAGGGTCAAAAGCCTGAATGTGAAAGAAAAGATCTGAAAGTGAAGATGTAAGTTTTGAATCTGAATCCTCTTCTGCAACCGAAAAATATGATTGAATGGAAAAATATATATATAAGTCAAGATTAAAAAAATATATTTTATTTAAAAAAAAGTCAAAACTATATTCAACCAGAAAATATTTTTCATCCACTTATTTATATTTTGAATACATTGTTGTATTTTTTTTCAAGTTCACATTTGTTTCTCAAATGAACAAAACTTTTGACCTGGATTTGGCTCCATACTCGTGCAGGAGACCCAGCGCTCTCCAGCATACTTTGGAAATGCAAAATTTAGCTATAGCCAGCTGCTGTAAAGCTAAACAGAAGAAGAAAATAAGACTTCTTTAACCCCAGAACCCCCCAGAACCCTCAATCGCCGGGCTGACACATTTACACTTTTGTGAAAGAATTATGATTGTTGGCACTTACTTGCCCAGCAGGTTGATATTCTGCGATATTGCCCCGTTTTCATTCAGTATGGAGTCCATTATCTTGAGGGGGTCCTCCAGACTCGGACCAGATGCTTTGTTGAGCTGCAGGGCGCTGCTGTCGTCTGCTGATCCACCGGCCTCCGCGTGTCTGAAGTCATCTGTGGCCGAGGCGCTCCCCTCCGACTCAGCCGTTAGCAACGCACAGCTGTCCAGCTCCACTTCTACGATGTCCATGTCGCTGAAGGAGGACGTTTTCATTGAGAAGAAAGGCTACTGGCAATGTCTTTAAAGTCAACTTCCTTAAAGTAATGGACATTCTCATTTAGTACACAGCGCCACCTGCCAAAAGCAGCCTCTCTCACTAGCTACTTTGTTGAGTGGAATTCTACGTCAACAAATATTCAATATTCGAATATTTTGTTTATTTGTTTATTGTGGTCGTTCATTTAAACCGCTATGCAGAGAGTGCGACAGTGCGAGAGAGAGCGAGCGACTGAAATAGAGTGAAATAGAGTGCGTGTGTGCGAGCGAGAGGTCTGTGGTCTTGGCTATTAGTTCATTTACTTAACTTTGTGTAGGTAATATGTTGTTAAATCGGTTTAAACTTAAATAAATTACCTATACAAGTAGTTATGCCTCGTATTAATTTGTCCTGTTATTGAGGACAAACATTAGGTCTTAAGGTCTTAAACATTATTAAGGTCTGAGGTCTTTTCTGACAAAATTTAAGAGGGATCTGATTAATTTGCGAGGAGAATGGTATCTATCAATAGTTGCATAATAATTCCAATTCAGATTGATACTACACATCCCCAAGGTGTCACTCGGTGATAACCAGGACATTCTGATGTACCATTTCACAAATTAAAGCCTCTCAAAATGCCACCTTCGATTTTTACTGGATACTAGAAAATTTGACTTCTTGTTACCAATAGGTGGCGCTATGACTTGATTAAACTTTACATCTCTTCAGGCCCAGAGTCTCATCAAACATGTGTAAATTGGAAAGAATCCGATGATGTCCAGTAGAGTTACAACGGTTTAGTTGTTCTTGGCGAAGGATCAACTTTGCCGATGCACCATCTCACCACCGATTATCGGACTCTTATAATATTCTTATAATATTCACAGTGAAGCATTATCAAGGTCTTACCTCTCCGCAAAGACATTTTGAGAGGGATCAGATTAACCTTTGAGGAGCATAACCTATGAGGAGCAGGGTGTAAAAAAAAGAGGAAATTCATCTTCCTGTTCTCTCCAGGTGGCGCTATGACTAAGGTTAAAAAAGGATCTCATGTATGTCTACAGGGTGAGAAGTTCATGCCATATGAGAAATATGGAGCAGATTATGGTCGAGTTAAAACAACTTCAATTTTCATGGCAAATGGTGTTTTTTTGAAAATGCTCCCTACACACATAGTTTGGAATTTCTTCCGGCATTTTTAGAGCTAAGGTCCTCAAGATCACACTGCGCGAATTTGAAAAGAATCGGGTTTAATCCCGGGGAGGAGTTCGGTCTTTTACTCTTTTACAATCATGAAAATAGGCCAAAGGGGCAGATTTTCAACCATTAATTGCAGCGCCCCCTATTCTTCAAATATTCTCAAAAAATTTGGGTGTGTTCAGTGGTTCAATGTTCACAGAGGTTACAATTTTGATGAGTCATTTGGAAGTGATATGTCTTGACAGATTAAGCCACACCCCTTGCAAAATTCATTAGCCCATATCTTCTCAAAACAATACGGTATCGATGGATCAGCGGGGCATAGACCCAATAATGATCCACAGAAAATTCCGTGACAATTGGACATAGCATTTAGGAGAAATGTGTTTTTCACAAAAATCTGAATGGCGGAAAATCTAGTTAGGCGCATTTGCATAGCATGGTTGACTTTTTTGTAGAGCATGTCCAAGAGCACATGTGTGCCAAATTTCGATCGGACATCAGGGGGAAAAACTGGCCAAAAGTTTCACCAGTTCTGATATGCATGCCAAATTTAACAACTTTGTGAATATGATAATGCCCTCAAAAAGGGGAAATTCCATAGAGAAAATAATAATAATTCTATGAAACACAATAGATTCCTCTACGACATTAATAATAAAGTCTTTGCAGGGTTCACAGGCCTCAAATATTGACCGTGACACACATGCATTTCAACCAGTTCCCACGCCACACCATGAAAAGGCACCACCAATCAGGTTGTCTTGCTAACGTTGTATCGTGCACGTATCATTTTTCCCTCTCGGCCACCGTACGCTCATTACCAAGCAACCTAGATGCGCAAGCACACGTGCCAGGTGGAGCCCTTGGATGAAATTTGAGGAGACCTGCTCAGTGCAAGGCGAGGTGGTGGTGTGGTGGCACATACCAGGTGTAAGAAAACACGAAAATGTAGCGGAGACAACGAAAAAGAAGTCCAATGAAAAGTGGAGGTCCAGTCGAGAATGGCAGAGTCATGATCTAGTCAAGAAAATTATGTATTGCACCGATTGTAGGACAGAGGGCAGTGGAAGGTTAAGAGGGTCTCTTTTGTAGTTGTAGCAATTCAAAGTTTAAACAATAAAAAGGAGATTTCAAATGGCCATGTCAAACGCATTGCGACTAAACAGATGAAGACAACAAAGTCGTCCTCAAAGTCGGCAGAGCTTTACACCTCAGACCCAGTTATATGCAATGAGCTACTCTTTACGTCTTTGTCTTGATCAGTTGCAGATTTTTTCATACAAAAGGAGCTTTACACACAGAGCTGAATATTTGGTGACTGCACATTTACATTTTATGTAGTCTTGATTTGAGTGTTTACAGTGGTCATTTACACTTGAAAGGATTATAAATCTAGTTCAAGTAAATTGTAGAAAACCATAGTCAACTATATTAAAATAAATTGAATTTACCAACAGTTGTGGCTAATGAAATTGCTTACTGCAGTGGTCGCCAACCCGTTGATTGTGATCGACTGGTCGTTCACGGAGACTTTCCTGGTCGATCTCCAAAATAAAACAAATATAAATTCATAAACACATGTCGAACATTTTCTGCAGTGTCTTCTGAAATGTTTTCTCCACTGCTAAAGCTAGCAGTTAGCAAGCATGCCGGAGACTATGCGAAAGAAGGCGAACACCTACCATTTCGAACTAGAAGGAAGGAAAGGAGGAATTTATTTTTGTGTGTGTGTATTGTGCCACCAGTCGCAGGCACTGTTTTAAGTGGAATTTGGAGCGGCACCACACTAACCACCGCATGCCGCGCTGTACTGCTTGGTCCTGCAACAGTGACACGAAGGGTTGAGTTACTGTCGGAGGACGTAGAACAGGTGTTGAAGGACTTGCCATTTTTCACTGCAGTTTGAGGAATCGCTGGATGCAATGGACACTGCTCAGCTTGTTGTGTTTGTTGGAATTGCTTTGCAGGACTTCCTCACACTTCTCCATTTAAAGCAGAGAACGAGAGGTGAGGTCCGTGGAAATAACATTCCCATTCATAAACTGGTGGCAATCACTACTGACGGGGCCCCGGCAATGTGCCGTGCACACGCTGGTTTTATTGCACTGTCCCGTAATGATCCGGATTTCCCCGACTTCATGAAATCTCACTGTTTCGGGGCGGAGGATGCTGCATGTGTACAGACTGTGAAGCACTCTGAGGCAAATTTGTGATTTTGGGCTATACTAAATAAAATGAATTGAATTGAAATGAATTGAATCACTGTGTGATTCATCAGCAAGCCGTGGCTGGAAAAGTTATTTTTCTCACTACTTTTCTCACGTAACAACACTGGTGGTCAAAGCAGTAAACTCGATTCAAGCAAAAGCACTTCAGCATCGCTTATTCAAGGCTTTATTGGATGAGTTGGATTCCACGTATGGAGACCTGCTTCTGAAAGCTGATGTCCGGTGGTTGAGTGGCGACAAAGTGCTGCAGAGGTTTGTTGACCTGCTGCCTGAGAAAGGTGTTTCTTTCAAAAAGGAACAAGGAGCACGAGGAACAATGCTACTGGACCTGGGGTTTCTGACAGAATCGGCAAAACTGAACTTCTAACAACGAGCTCCAGGGAAAAGATTGGCACCTGCCCCACATGATACGCGCAGTGAATGCATTCAAGGCCAAACTCGGTGTCTGGACCACACATTCCTTCAGAAAGGGAGGCTGACACACTTTAATAACCTGGAGAAAATGTCAAAGTCCATCAAAGATGATTATGACTCTCACCCTGAGCAGTACTGTGTGCAGCACAACGTTTTGGGGAATTAGACGTCATGGAGGATATTGCTGCATTTGTTTCCAACCCCTTCCTACATATTGACACAGAGGAGGTTGCCGCCAAATTCCAGGAAGCATTTGCTTTGCCAGATGGAGTGGACATGGAGATGGCTGACATGCAAAATAACATAGAACTGAAGGCCGAGTCAAGGGACCGTGACTTTTGGGAACTTGTCATCAGAGAGAAGTTTTCTCTGCCTACTTTGGCTCAACGAACCTCTGTGAAATGGCATTTTCACAGATGAAAATCACAAAATCTAAGTACAGGAGTCGGCTAACTGACAGAACCTCACAGACTGCCTCAGACTGGCTGTGCTTACGAGCCGAACTACAAGGCACTCACAGGCAGTGTTCAGTCACAAGCATCCCACTGACTGGAGTGACTTCTGATGGTACTGTGATCGGACACAGACCTGAACTGCACTCGTTAGTTGCACTGACTAATGGTACGTTCACACCGAATGCATCGCCAGCATTTTGAGCCACCGGACTAAATACAAAGTCTATGCATAGATGCAATGAAGCTGGAGGGTTGCCAATCTGCAATTTAGCGCAACGTATCTCACATTGAGTTTGCGACAAAGTCACTGCTATTTCGGGCAAAGTCGCGCCAAATTGCCAAATGCAGCAAACGCAGCAAACGCGAAAGTTGAAATATTGCATCTTTTGCGAGAAAATAGCGTGACGCTGCGGCACGACATTTTAACAGTGATGAGATCGTCACTGTAAATTGTGAACGTAGCATTAGAATTTTGTCGGCAAATTGTTGAATAAATAGGTTTATCGAATAGCGCATGGAATGTACCTTTAGCTTTAATATACCTGTATAAAAGGACTGCCTAGGTGTTGAACTGAACTTTAAGGTTTCTCTAGTCACCAAAGCCCTTTTTAACAACTCCCGATATCCTAGAAAGCAGCTACTAGTTACTAGTTCACCCTCCTCATGTCATTGGCAGTCAGAAAGCAGAAGACGGTGTGCGTGTCATGTGAGGAGTCAAAAGATGAACAGTCTCACCCTTGCTCGTGGGCTCTGGGTAACTCGTCTGCAACTTCCGCCACCACCTCGCCGTCACTCTCCGTCAGGTCACAGATGATGACATCATCCGATACCTTGGAGCCTTTCGAGCCGCTCAGACTGTTGACAGACATCTGAAGGGGACACAGTGACCCACGTTGCATATTCAAGATCAGCTCTTTGAAAGGATTTATATATCTGGGCATGAGAAGTCGCTTCAGGAGTGCACTAGATCAAACTCTTCCCCGTTTATGTCACTGGATACTGCGGTTTACTGACCTGCTCCTCGCACACTTTGTCATCGTAGATCTGATGAATATATTTGGGCTTCTTTCCATTACTGTTCATAAGAACTGGCCTGTCAAAAGGACAACAAAACAACAATTAAAGCTCAAACATGCAAGGGTTTGTATTATATGAGCGATCATATCAGCCTGAACTCACATTTTGCGTTTTAAATTCAGGATGCGGTTGTTCTGAACCAATGTGACGATGAAGTGGATAAGCTGAAAAGACAAGAGTCAGTCAACAGAAAACTGGATTTGCCACTCAGATGCAAACAATTTTTGGGTGGGCGCACGCCTGACTACTGACTACTATATTGCATGAATCAAATGACATCAGCACCCACCGACCCACCAAATCCGAGAGGAATTCGGCTGTGGCGAGAAAAGCAGTATCTCTCTAACTGGCCACTTTGTAATTCTATATCTCTCTATATTGATTAACAGCGGTCATTAACGTGTCATGATTACATCATCCACGAACCCAGAACGCTCGGTTGCATCGGTGGTTCTTGTGGCTCTTGAGACAGATGTGCGTGCAGGTGAAGACCCGTTTAACAGCTCGGGGCTGTTCGGCCAGCAGAGATCCATGTGGACCTGCTCCAATCTATGGTGACGGTAGGCAGCTTTTCCTGTAGCGGTCCGTTACAGGATTCTCTAAACATGCTTCTCCAAACACGCCTAACATAATAAACTCATTGCAGGTTCTGAAGCCTCACGCATTTCAACTATACTTCGCACGCCACATCGTGAGAAGACGGTGTTAAACCGTCTGGGCCACCGTACGCTCGTTACTAAGCAACATAGAGGCGCAAACACACATGACAGGTGGAGGCTTTTGATAGAACTGCTACAATATGGCTATTAAATGTGACTAAAATTAAGATTAGTCGCTAAAATTAAAATAACTAAATCTTTCGACGAAAATGCATAAAACTAAATCAAAAATAGCTGCCAAAATTAACACTGCAGCTCACTCGGAGCGTTCAATGTCGGTACTGTAAAGCTTTCAGTTGAATCACTGAATGAAGCCTGACTTATTTGGGACAAGAATCGCGACCTTGCTTGCACAAAACTCTTGATCAGCACTTTATTTATTGTTGTCGTTCATTTAAACCGCTACGTGCTTCATGAGAGAGAAGCGAGAATTCTGCGGTCATTAGTTCGTTTACATATTTTTGTGTAGGTAATATGTTGTTGAATATGTTTAAACTTAAATAAATTACCTATACAAGTAGTTGTATCTCGTATTAATTTGTCCTGTGATTAACGTGTCTAATGTGCAACCAGATATTCCAATATATGTGTTTTTTTTAAGCGAATATTCGAACGTCCTTTTTGAGCAATTTTGACAGCCCTAGTGTGTGTGTGTATATATATATTATATATATATATATATATATATGATATATTCCCTCTCTGGGAACCGTCACCTTATCGTGGTGGAGAGGTTTGTGTGTCCCTATGACCCTGAGGGCTGTGTTGTCGCCGGGAGCCTTGTGCTCCTGGTAGGGTTACCCTTGGCAAAGTGGTCTCAGGCGAGGGGCCAGACTAAGAATGGTTCAAAAAGACCTTATGAAAAAACGGAAGAGGAAAGGAGTTATCCGGCCCGGAGGAAGCCCGGGGCCCCCATTTGGAGCCAGGCCCAGATGGGGGGCTCGACAGCGGGCGTCTGGTGGCCGGGTTTACCGCAGAGCTCGGCCGGGCACAGCCGGAAGGAGTGACGCGGCAGCCCAAGACTCTACTCCCCATGGGCTCACCACCTGTGGAGGAAACCGGTGGGGTCGGGTGCGCTGCTAAAAGGGTGGCAGGGACAGTGGGGGGTCTAGACGGAACAGACCTGGGCGGCAGATGCTGGCTCTGGGGACGTGGAACGTAACCTCTCTGGGGGCGGCGGGGGGGGGGGGGAAGTAGCCGGAGCTTGGGCGGGAGGTGGAGCGTTATCAGTTGGATCTGGTGGGGCTAACCTCTATGCACAGCCTCGGCTCTGGAACCACACTCCTGGATAGGGGATGGACTCTATTCTACTCCGGAGTGGCCCATGGTGTGAGGCGCCAGGCGGGTGTGGGGGTACTCATAAGTCCCTGCTGCTACATTGGAGTTTACCCCGGTGGACAAAAGGGTCGCCTCCCTACGTCTTCGGGTGGTGGGGGGGAAAACTTTGACTGTTGTCTGTTCATATGCATCAAACAGCAGCTCAGAGTATTCAGCCTTTTTGGAGACCCTGAATGGAGTCCTGCATGGGGCTCCAGTAGGGGACTCCATAGTCCTACTGGGAGACTTCAATGCGCACGTGGGCGACGATGGAGATAACTGGAGAAGCGTGATTGGGAGGAATGGCCTCTCTGATCTGAACCCGGGCGGGTGTTTGTTACTGGACTTCTGTGCCAGTCACGGATTGTCCATAACAAATACCATGTTCGAACATAAGGATGTTCATAAGTGTACGTGGTACCAGAGCACCCTAGGCCAAAGATCAATGATCGATTTTGTAATCGTATCGTCTGATCTGAGGCCGCATGTTATGGACACTCGGGTAAAGAGAGGGGCAGAGCTGTCAACTGATCACCATCTGGTTGTGAGCTGGGTCAGAGGATGGGGGAAGACTTGGGACAGACCCAGTAAACCCAAGCGTGTAGTAAGGGTGAACTGGGAACGTCTGGAGGAGGCCCCGGTCCAAAGATTTTTAACTCACACCTCCGGCGGAGCTTCTCTCACATTCCTGTGGAGGTAGGGGACATTGAACCAGAGTGGTGTATATTCAAAACCACGTGGTGGACACCGGTGGTCAGGGAAGCCGTCCGACTGAAGGAGGAGGCCTTCCGGGTTATGATATCTGTTGGGACTCCGGAGGAAGTTGCAGTGTACCGACAGGCTTGAAGGGCAGCAGCCTCTGCCGTGATGGAGGCAAAGCAGCGAGTATGGGAGGAGTTCGGGGTAACTATGGAGAAGGACTTTCGTACCCCTCTTCAAAAAGGGGGACCAGAGAGTGTGTGCCAATTACAGGGGTATCACACTACTCAGCCTCCCGGGTAAAGTCTACTCTAAGGTGCTGGAAAGGAGGGTTCGGCCGATAGTCGAACCAAGGATTGCAGAGGAACAATGCGGTTTTCGTTCTGGTCGTGGAACAACGGACCAGCTCTTCACTCTTTCCAGGATCATAGAGGGGGCTTGGGAGTATGCTCATCCAGTCTACATGTGTTTTGTGGACTTGGAGAAGGCGTATAACCGGGTCGAGAGCAACTGTGGGAGGTGCTGCGGGAGTACGTGGTGAGGGGGTCCTTGCTTGGGGCCATCCAATCCTTCTACGCCCAAAGCGTAGGGAATGTGTCCTTACCTCAAAGCGAGAGCTGCGTTCGGGTGCTCGGCAGTAAGTCGAAGGCATTTCCGGTGGGGGTTGGCCTTTGCCAGGGCTGCGCCTTGTCACCAATCTTGTTTGTGGTGTTCATGGACAGGATATCAAGGCGTAGTCTGGGGGAGGAGGGTCTACAGTTCGGGGGGATGCGGATCTCATCGCTGCTTTTTGCAGATGATGTGGTCCTGATGGCATCTTCTGTCCGTGACCTCCAACTCTCACTGGAGTGTTTCGCAGTCGAGTGTGAAGCAGTCGGGATGAGGATTAGCACCTCTAAATCTGAGGCCATGGTTCTCAGCAGGAAACCGATGGATTGCCTACTCCAGGTAGGGAATGTGTCCTTACCCCAAGTGAAGGAGTTCAAGTACCTTGGGGTCTTGTTCACGAGTGAGGGGAAGATGGAGTGCGAGTTTGGCCGGAGAATCGGAGCAGCAGGGGCGGTATTGCACTCGCTTTACGGCACCGTTGTGACGAAAAGAGAGCTGAGCCGGAAGGCAAAGCTCTCGATCTACCGGTCAACCTTGGTTCCTACCCTCACCTCTGGTCATGAAGGATGGGTCATGACCAAAAGAACTAGGTCACGGGTACAAGCGGCCGAAATGGGTTTCCTCAGGAGAGTGGCTGGCGTCTCCCTTAGGGATATGGTGAGAAGCTCAGCCATTCGCGAGGAGCTCGGAGTAGAGCCGCTGCTCCTTTGCGTCTCCCTAGGGAGATGTTCCAGGCACGGCCAGCTGGGAAGAGGCCCCGGGGAAGGGGAAGGGGAGACCCAGGACTAGGTGGAGAGATTATATCTCTGCACTGGCCTGGGAACGCCTTGGGATCCCCCAGCCAGAGCTGGTAGATGTGGCCCGGGAAAGGGAAGTTTTGGATGCCCTGCTGGAGCTGTTGCCCCCGCGACTCGACCCCGGATAAGCAGTTAAAAATGGATGGATGGATGGATAATATATACACACAGTGCCAGCGAGTGTCCGTCGTGCAGTGGGTGGCGATGTTAACTTTGCCTAGTACGGCCAGTTATCCGTGTGTGTACGGTGTTCTCTTATCGTTTTCTTATTTCTTCCCGTCAAGTGCTTCCTGCTCACGTATCAGTCCATGTGGGATCTGTCCCCGTTGATTTAAAGCAAAATATGGGGTTGGCACGACTGGCTCCAGCTAGCTAAACTTTCCGGGTGTAACAGTCTTTTTTTATGTGGGACCAGGACACTTTAAGCTGTTAATACAATGGCTGGGTGTTGTGCTCACCTTTTTAATGAGTTGCTGTTGGTGGGCATGAATCTGTCGCAGGTCGGAGATCTCCCTCCACAGAGCTTCATTTTCCCTGAAAAAAAAAAAAAAGTTGACAGACTGGTAAGCAACTCTAACGCTGTCTCCTCTTGAGTTCCTGTAGCTTAATTTAGAATGAAAATGGTGGGAGATAAAACAGGACGTCTGATTAGTTCTTCAAAAGGGTGTTTTTCCAATTATTGGCAGTAATGTTGAAGCTGTAAATTAGGAGCTTTAAGTTCACCTCTTGAGTGTTCCTAGCCTGGCGTCGATGTTCTCCTGTTTGCTGTGAACACTGTGAACAGTTGCCAGGATCTGGGACAGGTCTTCCTGTCGAATCTTGTTGTCCTCTGGTCGAGTGTTGGAAACCTGACGGACCGTAATTGCAATTAAATCTTGTGTTTGCAATATCCTAACCCTGGAGGCCAGACAGTAATGGAAGGAATATTGCACAAAACACGACACCAGCCAGCAAATGAGAAAAGGAACCAGATACGGTGGTCTTAATGTAGAAAAAAATCTCAGAACAAAATTTATTTAATGACAAAATGATTATAATTGAAAATGCATCTTTTCTCAGTCCTAACTTTGTTTATGAAATGCAAAGAGAGATGACGGCGGTTTTGACTAGTGTCTGGTCTGTCTGCGTTCTCCCATGTTCAACCTCAGTGTACGTGAGCATGCAGAATACACAGAGATGTCTCCACCTTCCTCTTGATGTTCTCCAATAGGTTGTCCTGTCCATGTTTGAAGTAGGGGTGCTGAAACTCCACCGGGCCGTCTTTCTCTTGTTTCACGATGCCTGTGTCAATGTGCATCACTTTACGGAATCCGTCTGCGCAAAAAAATAAACAGATTTAACAGATATAAAACCTGAGCCAGTTTGTATGGGCTATCTATGGGGTCAGATCAGTCTGAATAATTGCAAATGCACATGAACGACTCACAAATGAATTCGATGCGCACAAAACAATTCACAAATATATGCCCACAGAAGGATTTACAAATACATTTCAATGCGCACATAAATAAATTACAATTTATATTTGCGGATAGCACTGCATTTGTGTGCGCATTGCTTCACATTGAGCTTTTTTGAGAATCAGATGTCGCCCTCATTTTCAACCAATCACATGAGTGCAGCTCGCCCCTCCCCACGAGCCTGCCAGCGACACAGCAACGCAGCTTGCGATGCAACGGGTTCGAAGTCAGTAAACTATGGCGTCTGGTAGCGACGACGCGCCGCGTCAAGTGAAACATGGTTTCATGGCGTGCATGATTGACGTTAATTACGTTCGAGTTGTAAATTATTGTTACGTCAAATATGTTGCACCATGGACCTGGATGTGTATGTCAAAAAGACAAATCAATTACACTATTTTTTGTCTAGTGCTATCTAACAAAAATGCTATTTATTGGATTGATTTGTTCCATACTGTGAAATATGTGCATCTCATCAGTGATCTTGCATCATGATTGTCATTATTCAGTCAGTTTAAAATCATTTGTGTTCGTACGAATACGAATATCCAAGTCGTGTTAAGGTGTGGCGCCTTGCTTTGACTTACACGTTTGTAAGAAAGATCATCTTTTGGTACGGACCGTCAGTTGGGTTAAATAAGTTATTGGGCCACATCAACTTGGACTGTTGAAACACATTTTCCTCCATTTTCTACTATAGCATAGACAAATAACTGACCAATTGAAAGAACTACATGGAATATACTAGTGGCAATGACTACCTGGTTCGTTTTCTGGTTCAGCAGAAACCACTGCAAAGCAATCACTAGCAACTAGATCAGGGGTCCCCAAACTACGGCCCGCGGGCCGCATACGGCCCGCCTCCACATTTGACCCGGCCCCCTGAACAATACAGAGACGGAAAAAAGGCTAATGGTTATGGTAAAATGGTTGTGTCATACAAGTAATTACGACTGCTCGACGGATCGCGGTCCCTTTAAATGTTCTGTTGTTGTTGATGACGTAGAGCCCGTTGATAGGGAGATTACAGGGCTGCGCCATCTTGTTTTTTCATCCGTTGTGAAAAATAAACGAGACACACGCTTGTTCTCAACTTTCTCTGTGGAATGCAACTTCCACAATAATGGCAAAACGGTGTGGTAAGAGAACAATTGATTCAGAATGCAGGGTATTTAACCCGCAGTGGACACATGATTACTTTTTTGTTCAGTTGGGTAATGTGTATGCCCAGCTGCAGCAGAAGACTAAAGATTTTCAGTTTTTTTCATTAGCACTGGATGAGAGCACGGACGTGCAGGACACCGCGGAGCTTCTTATTTTTATTCGTGGAGTTAACACAAACTTTGAGATGTGCGAGGAGTCTTTGTGACGGGATTCATAATGTCGGCGCAGGTTGTATTCTTTGAATACCGCCACTGTCTCTTGACAGACGAGACAAACAGCCTTTTCTTTCAACTGAACAAAAAAGTAATCATGTTGCCGACATCGATGAAGCCCAGCCTTCGTATCAGTTTGAGCTGGCCGAGTTACAGAACTGTGATGTTCTGAAAGACGCATTCAAGCCCAACAGTCTCATTGACTTCTATGCTGCCCTCCCAAATGACACCTACCCTAACATAAAACAACACGCAATGAAGATGTCCACACTTTTTGGCAGCACGTATATCTGCGAGCAAACCTTTTCACGCATGAAACTCCTGAAAACTCCAACAAGATCAAGATTGACAGATGAACATTTGCATCAGTGTTTGAGACTGGCTGTGACTAGAATGGAACCGGACATTCAACTTCTCTCCAGCCAGATGCAGGCCCACAGTTCACACTGATGAACACACAGTACATAGGTAAGCTCACTTTTCTGACTTATATCAGTCATTCTGTGTATCAACAAATGTAATCCTAATAAAATCTATTGGGATAAAAATCCATCTCCACAACCATACTGGTATTGAAATGCATTGTGCTGTATCACTTAGTTTGGTTTCTTAGCCTGCTTGCTTTGTGCTTTTCAGAGGGAAGTTGATGAGAGGGAGCCTACAGTGGTGTCTACTGGGCTAGCCTATGGAACCTACAAAGAACACAAGAACTTTGAGAGACATTTGAGATTCTGCTGTGACAAGTGAAGTTTACCTTTTATCTAGGATTGTGCATGGCACAGCATAACTTTCTTTCTGTGAAGAACCCAGAGAGGGTTATTTGATCTCAGAAAGGGTTATTAATATTTGGATATGTGTGGTGCGCTGGAGTGTCAGCATGTTTTCTGGAAAACAATAAATTATTACATTTAGGGACCCCTGCGAATGTCACACTTTTTCTGTTAGAAACTGACCCTGGCCCCCCATCAGAGAAGGGAAAAGTTATGTGGCCCTCACTGGAAAAAGTTTGGGGACCCCTGAACTAGATGTATCACAAACCACAACAAGTTGATTAAAGCGGTCTTACACATGTTCAGCTGCCTGATGAAACTGGCCATGTTGTTGTGCTTGAAGAACTTGGGAAGGATCTCCTTGGCGAAGTGCTGCTCATCCAACACAAGGAAACTGTTGCCCTCCTGGAAACAACCAACACCCCCGTGACAATCACAAAACAGCACACATCGCTTTACGGCGACAAATCCTGGGGGACCAGATGCTGGCATGACCCCCTGACCATCATGACCATCATGCAAGCTGCCGTTACACAGTTAAAAAGAACTGATTATTAGTCTGACAGTTAGCTCGAGCTAAAGCTTGCCGATAGAAACCAGCTAACTGGCCGTATAACCTCAACAGTTATTAGCGGAGGAAATGCTACATTTACAGCTTTGCCTTCCAGCTAATCCCACTGCCTATTTAACATTGGTGCTCTGCTTGGTGTTAGCTTCCAGAGCTGGAATGCTAACCAACGTTAGCTAAAAAAAAAGCAGCTGCTACGTTGGCGTTACCTGGCTCCAGCAAATAAACTCATTGGTGTCGGCGTCCTCGACGAGCGTCCACAGCTTGGTGAGGAAGGCCGGCACGTTCGAGTTGTGCTTCATTTCGTGAATCCAACGACTCAAACGGTTCTGTTGAAACGCTGCTTGAGCCTGTTGCTTTGACAAAATGTTATTGCTTACAACTTCCGGTTCAGTGAACGAGCGCGGATTGGTCGAAAACAGACACCTCCGCAACACTTGTCACGTGTGTTTTACTTGTATGTATGTATATACACATATACACACATGTATATATACATATATATACATACATATATATATACATATATATATATATATATATATATGTATATATACATATATATATATATATATATATATATATACACACACATATGTATATACACACATATATATATATACACACATATATATACACATATATATATATATATATACACACATATATATATATATATATATACATATATATACACATATGTGTATATATAAATAAATGATACATTTATTCTGCATTCTTGTTAATAGTAATACTTTGAACCTGGTTGTCTTATGTCGTCTGCAAGACTCAACTGTAACAACACATGAACATTGATGATGCTTCTTTGTAGTCCATCTTCGGAGAAATTGTAGTTTCGCCGCTGCACACTGTGTCTCCCGTCGCATCAGAATTACGTAGCTTAGTGAAAGTGGGGTTGGATTCCCTAAACACGGCGGTTGTCTTTTCCTCACTCCTCAGGAATTGTCCTAAGCGTCTTTCCTTGACCCTGTGACGTTCTCCACAGAGGTCAAGGAATAATAATAAGAAGAATAATTATACATTTTCATTTATAACGCACACAGAGCTAGCAAAACATAGGTAGAACATATTTAAAATAAAGTAAAGGCTAGTAAAAACATAGGGGGAAAGGAAATTTAAGATTTAAGCGAAAATTTCGAGAAGTAAAAACGCCTTCCTAAATAAGTAGGTTTTCAGGCCAGTTTTAGTCCAGTGACCGTCACAGGTGGTCAGAGAGACTGATCCATTTGCGTGGCGCTGCCGAGCAGAAGGCCCGGTCACCTGTGGTGCGGAGCTTGTTGTTGGGGACCCAGAGGAGCGAGCTGCTTGCAGATCTGAGGGTGCGATGGAAGTTTGGGGTGTAAGTAGTTCTTGCAGATAGGGAGGCGCATGTCCATTTATGCATTCATTAGTGAGTAGTAGAACTTTGTAGTCAATCCAGAAAGAGACAGGGAGCCAGTGTAGTGAGTGTAGGACAGGTTTTATGTGCTCATATTTACAGACTGTCATCAGGATCCTGGCAGCGCTGTTTTGGATGTATTTCTAGGATATTCTATCCTGTGATTCCAGTGAAGAGTGAATTACAGTAGTCCAGTCAGAAAAGTGGTTAGGAATTGTGGTGTATTTAGTACTATTTAATATGTCCATTAAGTTTGTCATCAAGACTTGCCGTTGTTAGTTAGTGGTTTTATGCGCATGTCTGAGGAAGTAAAAAGATGGACAATGCCCTCATGCCGAACCTCGTGTGTTGTATCCTGACATTATTTATTAAACAGTTAAACGCGTGCCTCGTCTAGTTATTTAGTACACCACAGGAATGGTCACAAGACCTTTTTGTTTTCTTTCCTGCGAAACCTGGTTGAAAGGAGGGTGGGAGGTCAGACCTATAAATGCCATGTCATCATGTGGCCACTAGATGGACTCCTTAGCATATTGCAAAACCTTACCGCTGTCAAACCAGCTTGCTGCCAGCACCAATGCATCCAATAAGTTTATTACTTCATTGTTACATACAGCCTGTCTTCTGTAAATACAAATGAACTCATCTGACTTTAGCCCTGCTATTTACAACCCGTCTGCTTTTAGTACTAAACCTTTTATAAGAACCATCCCTGTTCTCTGGCCTGTTTCCGTTTAACTCAACACTGCCTCTGTCTGCTTCACATTAAACGTTTTGTAGCAGTATCATGATTAAATCATTTAAATATCTATCAGCCTTTATTTGGTTCCACGCCGTCCGTAGAATTTCACTGAACCAAGAAATCAAATGTACCCTTAAATTAATTACCTTCTACTGTATAAGTAAAACTTGTTTTACGATTAGATTAAACTTTAACAGAGTTTATTTTGTGGTTTAGAGCAGTGTAGTCCATCAGCAGATGCATGCAATTTTCCTTTTGAAAGGACAAGTATGTTTTCTGTGCCTAACTTTCAGGCTGGTGGCCATGACTGCTAAGTGGAGTTGACATGTGTTGGGCTAATTGGATTGGAGGATAATATTACATCAAAAGATGTCACCTGCTCCTCTAAAATGGCTGTAATTAGGACATTCTGCAACGTCAAGCACAGGGGAGATTATGGAGGAGCAGGAATCAGAGCACATTACAGCCACCCAGGTGACACATTCATTTCATTCTGCACCATATAAATAGTCATCACACTACAGTGCCAACAGGGTTGTATCCCTTTCATCTGCAGAGTACATTATACTTCCTGCAGAGTTTAAATATTATATTCATACATATATATATACAAATTCTCTGATGACTCTGCAGTGGTAGGGTGTATAAGGGATGGACGGGAGGAAGAGTACAGGGCAGTAGTGGAGGACTTTGTGGTGTTGGCGGGCAGAAATCACCTGCTCCTGAACGTGGCCACGACCAGAGAGATGGTGGTCAACTTTGGGAGGAAGACGATGGCTCCACTACCGCTGAGGGTTCTGGGAGAGGAGGTGATCATGGTCGAGGACTACAAGTACCTGGGTGTCTCCATCGACAACAGATTGAACTGGAAGACCAACATCAACGCCGTCTACAGGAAGGGGATGAGTCGACTCTTTTTCCTGAGGAAGCTTCGATCCTTCCATGTGTGCAGCAAGATGTTGGAGATGTTCTATCAGTCTGTTGTGGCCAGTGCTTTGTACTTGGCCGTGGTCTGCTGGGGGAGCAGCAGCATTGGAGCCGGTGACACCAACAGACTTAACAAACTTGTTAAGAAGGCCGGCTCCATCATTGGCTGCAAACAGGACAGCTTGGAAAAGGTGGTGGAGGGGAGGTCACTGAAGAAACTGCTATCCATATTGGATAATGTGTATCTTTTTAATCTATTTTCTTTCCTGTACATGCTGCTGTGATACCAAAATTTCCCTCTTGAGGGATCAATAAAGTATCTATCTATCTATATACAGTATAGTAGATCCAACCTTTAGGAACATTTCAGCAATATGCTTGAAAGAATAAATAGAAATAGAAACTACCCTTTATAAAGCAGGTTTAGCCATCATTCTGATCTCCCTTTGTAAAGAAAAATGGCAACCCAATCTTGTAAAAATTACATTACATTTACATGGCACAGTTAAATTCTAATGGAATTGCAATTGATATAATAATGTTAAACAAAAGATTTGTCAGCACACGCAACACTACATCCGTAAAACATCAAGTTGAGTATTTAAAAGGAATACGACTGTTAGGCCTCTTGGACGGTCTCGGTGAATGGTTGTAACTCGCTGTGGTCAAGACAGGAGAGAATCGACCATAGCATAATTAAGCGTTATCGTACAATAATGTAACAATTCGGGTGTGTTGTTAAAGATAAAGTACTGCCTCAGGTACCTTATTGCTTTTATAATACGGTTACCAGTGAAATTATAAATAGTAAGTAAATTGCTTCCTTTCAGCACAAAATAGTTGCAGCCACCAAACGTTGTGTGTCACATTTCAGTAGCCTAGAGAAAAATAGTTCCCGTACGTGCACGTAAACCGCATTGGGTCTCCTTGCAAGATCTCGCACCATCTCATTCATTCACATCGCTCATGACGGCCACCTCAATTGTCCGGTTGTTCGCATTTCCCCAAACCGATCATTTGTGTTGTTTCCGGTCTTTTTTCGGCGATTGTCAACTAACGGTTGTGCAAAATCTAACCTGTTACGTTGAGTGCGCAGTGATATGGAACGCTCGGGTCAATGTGAACAGCAACTGTACGTTATCGCTGACACCACGTGTCTCACTCTCAACCAATCAGAACGCTGGATTTCATCTACCTTACAACATCTTTATTCAACGGTTTCCAGTTTAATAAACAAATGACATCAGGGTCTCAAAGGCCAAAACAATAAACAAAACTCCCCCCACTAACTAGAAAAAAAGCTCAGCTTTCCTACTCGAAATAAACAGAAACAATACTCTGTCTAGCTCCCTGTCTAGCCACAAAACAGGAGAAAACAAGCATGTTAAAATAAATGGCGGAGAACCCCTACAGAGCCTCACGGTGGGTCTCAGCCCCCAGAGGACACCGCACCAACAGCAAATGGTTTCAGAGCAGGTAAGATTCTGCGTACTGAACTGTGGACTTGGAACACAGAGTGGTTGGAAAGAACAGACATTTTCCATTGGATGGAGAACATTGGATTTATGGTTGTTGTTCTCTCTCATTACTTGATTAATATTGAAGTCTAGCAAGGCAAAAAGACCCAGAACAAGAAAGAAAAAAAAAAGAGCGACGTTACAGCTGACCTCGGCAGATTTATTTTTTTGCCTAACGGGTAAATATGTCTCGGAGTTTGCCAAGCGGGTATTAAGCGTTGTAGACTGCCAAAGCATGGATTTTACTGCATTTTCAAACAATGTTTGATTAAGTGTAACTCAATAGGTATTCCACTCTCCATAAACTAAAGCTGTATTTCACTGCCCCCGCCCGCTAAACACCAAACTGAAAATAAATGATCTCACCAAAGAAGTAGTTATTTTTAAGAGCTCTGTATTATATTGTAACAATCAAACACACCTTGACTTTATCTCTGTCTCTATTCCCTAACAGGAAGCTATTTTTCAAAATGTTCTAAAACCCAATTTGTCTCTGTCTTTCATTCCTCTTCTCGCAGAAGTTATTATTATTATTAAGAAATGTATTTATTTGGAGATTGGAGATGGAAATGATTTGACACTACCTGCAAAGGAGCACTTTAAACCCAGAGAGTCCTTCCTAGAATCTCAACAGGGTTGAAATAATGAAAAGGTTATTTGAGTCCATAGAAAACAAATTAGCGGAAGAGGACACGGCTCACATATCATATGCGTGTGTGTGTGTGTGTGTGTGTGTGTGTGTGTGTGTGTGTGTGTGCGCGTGTGCGCTTCGACTGTCTTCGACCACATGCGGCTGTTATCTAGA